CAAGACCCAACACTCTGGATGAGCTTAAGGCCACTATCGAARCWWCCTGGGCCTCCATAACACCTCAGCAGTGCCACAGGCTGATTGCCTCCATGCCACGCTGCATTGAAGCAGTCATTTCTGCAAAAGGATTCTCCACCAAGTATTGAGTTCATAACTGAACATAATTATTTGAAGGTTGACATTTTTTGTATCAGAAACACTTTTCTTTTATTGGTCAGATGAAATATGCTAATTTTTTGAGATAGGGATTTTTTATTTTTCTTTACTTTTTTTCCAAAATCATCAATATTAAAACAATAAAAGGCTTGAACTACTTCAGTTTGTGTGCAATGAATCTAAAATATGTATGTGAAAGTTTAATGTTTATCAGTACATTACAGAAAATAATGAACTTTATCACAATATGCTAATTTTTTTTAGAAGGACCTGTATTTCCTGTGATTCTGCCAGCTGGTGTTTTTTAGAGTTTGTTAACTCATGGATTAAGTGGCAGCATGCCAGGATTTGTAGGCTCAGGGTTAATTTAAACCTCATCTGTTCTATTTCAGTGTGAAGATTCGACTCTTTAACTCAAGCAGCTAATCACTGTCCCTCCCTTCTCTCCTGAAGGCTCATGGGGTCTTTGTTTGTTTGATGCCCATGAGATGCTTTTTAACAGGTTTGATTTGTTATGAACCCGAGGGTCAGATTTGAAGCTGCTTTGTGAATTCTGAGGCATCCTCCTGTTTGATGGTCTTGTTTTACAAAGAGAGCTTCTTGAACACCTCAAAACCATCTGTCTTGTAATGGGAACATTCTTGTCCAACAAAAAGTTTCCCTTATCTTTGAGATGAACAGCTGAGTTTTGTCCTGAAGAGCTGTTTTTTTTTTTTGTATTTAAATAGTTTTTACCTGCCTTTGTCTTTCAGTGTTGGGCAACACTAAAACTAAAGTTTTTACCCATATCTGTGTGTAAGGTTCCATGTCTTTGTTTATCTTGATGCTAGAAAAAAATACCTTATAAACTACTGAACATTTTTAACAAAGCTTGGAGAAAGTAATCATCGAATGCACGGCTAAAACTCATTAAAACTTAGTCAACCTCACTGAGCTAATTGTTGATGTGTTTGTAGCTGAGTCAATCCCAATAAACACTCTGAGCACCAACACATCATTCAAGACTTGTTTCCAATTTTGCAATTACTACATATTTATAGTCAACCCAGGGTTCTGTTCAGTATCTCAGCTGTTCCTGAGCTCGTCTACACAGAGATCTCTGAGGTTGTTTCTGGTATCAGTTGGAACCACTCTTCCAGTTTGGGGGTCACAGCATCAGTAGTTCCAGTTCACAGCAAATAACTCACACATGTTGTAGGGCAGTCAGTCCCTTATGGCCAACAGGAAATAAATAATACAGAACTACTTTTCAAAGTAAAAGTAAGAGAGTTTTATTCACTTGTGTGTTAAGTAGCCACCATCTTCAATTCTGAATATGCGGTTTGCAGGAGTTACTCCCACTTTCCAAATTCCTACTTGATAATATCTATAGGGGGTTCTGGTCCTGTGACTTGGTGATTGAGTCCTCCTAGTGGCTCGGAGGCCAGGTGTTTTCTTGTGTTTTTACACCTGTCAGACACCAGAGCGCTTCCATTAACCGATTCTGGCCTGAAGTGTTTCTCGTGTTGTCAAACTGAAGAGGATATCACTCCTAAATCCTTCACCAGCTTGTTCAGAGGATGACCTGCTTCACCTGATCTTTCACCTGCTGCTCAGGAGACTGATTCGGTTCAAATCGGCAGATCCACCTACATTACATTTAATGTATAACCTGGACTATAGAGGAGTTCTTTCTTTGTTTAAACTGGATAAACTTCAGGCTGACTGTAGTCACTAAGGCTGCGTGATTAGAAATCATATGGTACAGGCTTCCTGTGTGTGTGTGGTGGGGTTGTCTTTGGTGACATTTGGGGGCAATTTTAAGACAAAACGCCTACATTTGGGCACAACTGGTGCATTTGGGGACAAAAGTCGAGGCCCCATTTGGTTTAAATACCATTGGTGGGTTGGGGGTTGGGTTTAGGACCAAGGTGTGAATTGAGTTTAGGTTAGTTTTAGGGTCAGGTAGGTACCTGTGAGGTTAGCTTTAGGGTTTGTGGTCAGAGTTAGGCTGTAGAAATTTAATGGAATGTCCCCAATTAGATAGCTGTGCAAACTTGTGTGTGTGTGAGCGTGTGTGTGTGTGTGTGTGCGTGCGTGCGTGCGTGCGTGCGTGTGTGTGTGTGTGTGTGTGTGTGTGTGTGTGTGTGTG